CAAATTAAATATATAGTTATTATTATTATAAACTAAGCTTAAAATTTATAATAAAATTCTAGAATAATATATAATATAAATATTTAGATGCTTAAATAGCTCAAAGTAAGTTAGAACCAAAAAATTAGTAACATTTGGATTTATTCAGAGCCTCTTACAATTTTTCTTTGCTAAAACCTCCATATTTTTAATAAAACTGTTACGTTATCTTGACAATGCCATCATGTTATAGTAATGATTCAAAAAATATTTTAAGTAATTTCTATAGTTATAAAATTTTTAATTTGTAATTGTTTCATTATAAAAATCTAGTACTGATTTTGCAAAGGTACAATAACGATTTTTGTACTAAATAGTATAATGTTATTTGATCTTATAGTATAGTTATTTGGTTTGAAGTTGATTTAGTATCAAATTATCACAATTTTGTCTAAGATATCATTGCAAGTTTATTATAATTGCTATTTGATTTAGTAATTATTCAATAGTCAAATTGCCAGGTCTTCTTACCCTATGATATAGTATTTTATTATGATGTTTTAAGAGTTAGTAACAATTAAATAGTCAAATTGCTATCATAATAAAATAATCTATCACTTCTAATAAGACTTACTATAAAGAGAACCAATTTTTTAATAAAGCGTAGGCCATACAAATTTTGATATATTTTTTAAAAAGAAATTTATAAATCTTGACTAATTAGTAACTAGCTCATTATACTATTTTCTTTATGATGAATTTTTTAATTTTATAAACTTCTTGCTATGACATAATAAATGTCAAACTTTATTATATTATTTTCTGTTAATAACAAAATTTTAAAAAATTATTTTTTATAAAAACAGAAATTTTTTCTTATTTTTTCATTAATATGTCTCAAAAAAAGCAAAAAATTATTCAGAGTGAATCATCCACATCTTCATCTTCTTTCCAACCCATCCAACAACGTTTATTTGCTCGATCCAAATCACAACTTATCCAACCTATCCAATCTGACCTACAATCCCAATCTTGACTAGTAACTCCACAAAATCAACCAACACCTGAGCCAGTATCATATACAATTCAGACTATTCCAAGTTCAACAGTCTTCCTGGTTTTTATTTTATAAAAAAAAATTAATTATATAGAAATCTAGATTTCATACTTTTTAGTAATTATATAGTGACTATATTGTAATGATATTGTTACAATATAGTCACTATATAATTCTAAAATTATAGAATCTAGACTTCAAATTATTGGTATTATCTTAATAAATTTATCTTAGATTAACTCTTTCTGTTTATTTAAGATCTTACTACAGTTTTAAATTTTTTGGAATTGCACCTTCATAGAGATCGTAACACAATCCTCACAACTCTTTGAAGCCGATTTGGTCTTTTGACCAATGATTTGGTTAACGATAGTGTTGATGCCATGATGGCAGTGCTTTTTCTGAATACTGCCTGATGATCATAATCGTTAACCCTGACCCTTCTAGAAAATTTTTATTTTGAAGAAGTAGAGGATTAGTCTTATTTACTACTACGTCCAGTTGAAGCAAGAGATACTTATAAAGCTGAGATCCTTAAAGATGGACTGAACCTTCTCCCAAATTATTATGAGGATGGAAACTTTCCATCAGTTCCATGGCATGCTCATAACATACTTGTATCATTTATAAAGAATGGAAGAAACATGTCTTCCAAACAACTATACGAGTATTATGCTATTAATAATGTAATAAAATTTTATTTAATTTGTAGCTTTGTGTGCATTTTCATTTTTTTTTTAGATTTTTCTGCATTTAATTGGTGACAAAAATTTTAGTGCATAGGTGCAAATCACTAATTAGGAATAAAAGGAAGGTTTTAGTTATCATGCATAGTATATTGAAATAATTTCAGATACATTTTCTTTACTATGATGTGTGACAATTAAACAAATTTTTTTAACTCTGGTTTTCTAAACTCTACCAGGAAGGCCTTCAAAAATATGGATCATGTGATGGCACTGCCTATATTAAATATGATATGCAAATATGCAATATAGGCAATACAGAGTCAAAATTTTTATACCAATAGTACTTTAATCCAGTACTGATTTATTTATTGCAACTACAGCAAGTGGCACCACCATATAATCCTATTTTTAATAACTAACCTGGTAGAGTTGATTATCTATAAACTATTATACATGTCTTTTTAATTTAATAAATGATTAATAAACATAATTATACTAATACTTTCTATTAATAAGGAGTTCCCAAAATGGATCAATGATCTCTTCAGAGGTGAATTGCATGCATTATTTATCCAATGCAGAAACCTTGATGACTCCAAATCTAATGCAGTAATTAAAAAGTTTCTAAAAATCTTGGTTCCAGAAATAGATGACCAAAATTTTGATGATGCAGCATCAAGATTTCATTCCATCTTTATTGAATGCCGACATGTTCTTTGGACAAGGATTAACAAATTGTTTGAGGATTTGCAGAGAAGAGCAAAAAGGTAAAATAATTATTAATTATTATTATATATATTATTTTAATTTTATTTTATTTTATATTGTGCTTTTTTATTATCTAGTAATGAGATTAATAAGATTTTTGCTGCAATGACAGCAAGGAATGTTCAAAAAGTGTGGCAGCAGTTTCTTGTTAATATTAATATTTCTGCTATTTGTGAAAAATCTACCATCACCAATAATTTTGAAAAGTTACTTTCTGATGTGGTTCATGCTGGACTATGGACAATAAATTTTTTTCAACCTAAAGATGCTCAAGCAATATTTTTTAACTTAAATAATAACTTGTACACTGTCAATTTGAATGTTTTAACTCCTAGTGGTTGGAATGTTGCATCATCAATTGATTTAAGTTGCTACAACTTTACAGTTCAAAAAGGTCCTGAAGCTATTAAATAGGTTTTTCTTATATTTTGCTTTTTGCTTCTGTTTTTTTATTTGCTTTGTTTTTTTACTTTTTTTGCTATTTTTTTAAATGTAATTAATATATAATTATTATAGTAAATTAACCTAAGTGCTGAAAGTTTTTTCTCTAAAAAAATAAAATTATATAATTATAAATATAATATCTTAAAATTTTATTATAATCAAAAATGTCTTCTATTTTTATTCACAAAATAAAAATTATACGTATATATATTACTATTTGTAGATCATGCTGTTTTAATAGGTCAGGTAGATACTGTACATTCATATAATGATCTAATATACTGCATAAATTGTATTCTTGATATCTATATAATCTGCTAGTCCTAACTGCATCAAAAAAGTAACCCTAACTGATATCTGGATTTAACATTTCCCTATATAAAGGATTTGATTACTAATACAATCTTTTTTTTGTTTTTTTACTAACAATAACGGGTAATGAAAGCAAGAAAATATGTTTTATATAAGATGGGTCTTTTATAGCTTTGCATACTTATTGAATGCATTTTGTATATTTGAAATACATAGTTAATATATTTATTAACTATATACTATGTTTGACATATTAACTATGTTAACTATTATCTATTTTTGGGTTCCAACTAACTTATTGAATAAAAATAATAAAAAAAGAAATTACAATATAATAAAAAAAAAAGTAGAACTGAGCATCAGAGTCCTTCACAACATACTTTTAATTTATTTCAGAATTTCTGCTCTGAGCCAACTTTTTAAACATAGAGAAGCTTTAGTTGATTCTTTATAAAGGTTAGCTCTTAAAGAATTAATAGTATTCTTGGCTATAGAAAAGGCACGTTTACAAGGAATGCTTGTGGCCTGTAGAGCAAAATAATCTGCTACTATCAAAGCTACAGTTGGAAATTGACATTCATTTGTTTTCTACCAGTACAGGGGATTAATACCATGTTCTAAAGGTAATGAAAGATAGACCTCTAATTCATTAGTTGTACCAGTAGTTTCTTTATTTTTATTTGAATTTACTAAAGTTCAAAAATATTCCAAAGAATAATGTTTGGGTTCTGTTATTTTTTCATGTAGATGATAGGTGGAATAAGAAACTTTTAAAAGATCAATAACTAACTGATAGTTCTTGTTTTTAAAAGTTTCAAGCTTAGTCAAGGGATCAAGAATAGAGAGAATGGTTGATAATTGTAAAAGGTGAATCCAATAATGTGTTAGCTTATTTTTCATCCCCTAAGCTGCTTTACAATAGGTATTTACATTATTATTTTCTATATAATTATCAAGGTGTTTTATAAGACCTTGAAAATTATTCTTAATGTTCCGTGCAATGGTATTGAGGTCTTTGATAGCTCTAATGTTGCTTTATAAAATAGTTCAAGCAATTGAACTATTTCTTTAATTATAATCCAGTCATCAGATTTTAAATAGTCTTCTTGTAGGTTAGGATGAAGTCTTAAAAGATTATCAGTAATGTCCTGAATTTCAATGAGTCGTTGGAGCATAAGGTATGTAGAGTTCCATCTAGTATAGTGTTACCAAATTATCAAAAATTTTTCAATATTAGTTAATTATTTTTCACTTAACAACTACTGTATAGTATGCCTTATAGTACTCATAAAAAATATACAACCAATAGTACCTAGGTATTATATTAGCCATATAAATATGACTATTCAAAAAATAGTTAGATAACCAAATACTAACTAAATATTTGATTTATATATAGATCCTATTATAATACTCTGAATATTGTTTTTACTATACATAGTACCCAGAGTACTATTTAGGTTTATGCAGGTTTGGCTGCATATACCCAGAATACTATAAGGTGCACTTTACTGTAGTTACAACTAATTAACTAATTGATAAGTTATAACTAATAGATTAATTGATAATCAATTAGTTGCAACTAATTAACTAATTAATTAGTTAATCTTCAACAGATTAATTATATCAAAAAAATTCAATTAATTAGTTGTCAACTAACCAACTAATCAATTTTTCAATTTTTGATTTGTAATATTAACCTAGTAGCAACATCAATTTTGGGATGGAGGAATAAACAATTATAAATATCACAAATTCTTTTCATTTCTTCTAATAATAGAGATGAATTTCTAACTTTTGAACAGAAACTTCATGCTTTTTTTATCTGATTAGCATAATGTGTTTGTCCTTTCTTAACTGCAAGATTTAAAACATGAGCAGCACATTGGACATATATAAAATTTGGATATATATTTTTTTGGAGATATTGTAGACAAGTTTGATTGTTTAATGCATTTTCTCCAGTGAAACCAATAACTTTCTCTTTTATTTTTAAAAAGTCTACAAGTTTAAGAACTTGTTTTTCAAGATATTCACTAGTATGAGATTCGTATAAAAGAATAATATCAAGAAGAATTTTCTTTATTGACCACTCAATATCAACACAATGTATAGTGACATCAAGGAAAGATTGCTGCAAACATGTAGTCCAAACATCCAGTGTAAGCCCTAGTTTACTATGGTTTGATCTTAATAAATTGCCTATTTTTATCCTAAGAGATTCAAATTGTTCTCTAATATTTTTTGAAATAGTTTGTCAACAAGGAATTTTGTATTTTGGATCCAGATTGGTAACAAATTTAATAAAAGAACATTCATCAACTTGTGAAAAAGGCTGTTGACTTTCAATAATTAATTGATATAGGTCATTGTTTAGAGACTCTACACAATCTCTGTCACCTTTAGTAACTATTGAATATGAGGATATATGAGTAACTTTTTGATTTTTTCTATTAAAGTCTCTAAAAATATCTGGATGTTTACTTTCAAAATGTCATGTAATGGTTGATACTGAGGTACCTGGTGCCCATTTATTAGGTTCTTTTACATTAGATACATCCTTACATAGTTCACAAATATGAAAACCATCATCGCATATTTCTAAGTAATCATAGACAGATGATCGTTTTTTTATTTTTTTGTATTTTTATCTGTGTTATTAATATTTTTATTATAGGATTCATTATTTTCAAGAGAATTTTCAAGAAAATTCTCATTTAAGTTATTAGAAGTTATAGATAAGGAAGTTGGCAAATTTGATTGAGATATAATAATAGCAGTCGAAGTTTAATACAAATTTAAAAGAAAAATGGAACTTTGTATCAAAAAAAGGTAAAAAAGGTTTAATATAGATTTAAAAGAAAACAGAACTTTGTATTTAAAAAAGCCAAGAATGAAACAGTTTTTATAGTTTGCCAGTATTTAATAGAAGAGCAGAGCATTGTTAATATGCAGATTTAATAACAATAGTTATTAATGAGTAAGTAATTCTTAGAATATTACAGCATCTTATATAATTTG